CTAAATTCTAATCCATTATTTTCATTGAAAAGGATAAACTAAGAAACAAGCACTTTAATACATCTCATTATTCAAAACAATCTAATCTAATTGTCTGATGCGAAAGATTGAGTTGACTATCAATTAAAATTTACTATAGTATTTCTGAGGGCTTTGAGCAAGTCATCCTAATTCTGTGCTTTATGCGTAATAATACTTATGAAGATTATCAGTTCTAAGAAATCCAGGCTCGTGATACCACATGTAAGCATAAACTTTAATTCATATCAGGATCTTGAACATGCTAATCTTACATGTAATCGTCATAGAAAACATACCTGAAGCGAAATCCATTATCTTGAAGCGGAAGCGTTAATCGGTAAATTAGTTTCTCGCCCCTTGCCCTAACTTTACGTTACTACCGCCTTTAGTGATGGAAGAAAGAAAAAAATACGGTAACCCTAATGGGTAGGGAGAGGACAAATTTATAGATGTTCTTATTTAATCCAGTACGTCCATCAAGTAACCGCTCGGACGGATGAGATTTGCTCATTAATTAAATATTAGTTATGGGCCTAATCTTATTAGGCCATATATATACATAGGAAATAACTTACATAGAAATCATGTAGTTCTTAACTAATCTTTTCTAAAAATAATATAAATCTTTAACAGTAAATCATATAGTTATTAAAGTATTTATCACAATCCAAGGAAAAATTTTTCAAGTATTTTTTAAAGATTTTGCATGCATCTGATGATTTATAATGGACCAAATATTTCTAGGTCATTTTTTTCCCCCTTTCCGTCCCTTTTCTTTGGAAACACAATTTCGTGTACTTAGTACATTACATGGGTTCGCTTGTAGAATAATTCATGATTTTTGACTGATATTTATTTTGGATTAGTTATCTCCTATAACAAAGGTTGATACCTTATTTTATTTAAATAAATATCCTTTTAAAAAATTATATTTCATAGCTACCTTTTGATTTTTTATAGCCAAATATCTATTTATGGTCACCTCTTACCCTTAAGCCATAAATAAGCTTTGTATTATTTTTCTCTCTCCACTCAAATTTCTCTTATCCCCTCAAATTTCTCGTATCCCCTACCCCATATCTATTTTCCCTCTCTCTCTCTCTCTCATCTTCCACCTTCATCTTACTATCAGAACTCTTCGGCAAAGCATCAGAATTAGAGTTTTCCGGCGAAGACTTTTGGGCTGCCGAGCAATCATCCGATATAGAAATTTTCTTCGGCGTAACAACGGCAATCGGAGGCAACGGTGACGGCGAGCGAGGACTGGATACCGATGCCGCTTCAACCTCATCGCCGTCGCCGCGGACTACTTGTGCCCACAGTGCTTGTAAACTCCGTCGAGACTGTGGACTGCTGACGGTGGCTCCGGCGGCTTCAATTGTAAAGAATAATTTTTTCGAAGCGCACGTGAGGTTATTATGGTAACAAGAACATTGGCGTTTCGAGTCAGAATCGCGGCCCTCTCGACGAGACGACATTAGGGTTGTTCTTGAACAAAGACGACGGAGTTTGGGGCTGAGCAACTTGAATTTTATGTTAATATATTTCAATATATTTCAATGTATCTCGCTGTATTTCCATGTATCTCATTGTATCCATTGTCTTTGTTTTTATTATATTTCAATGTATCTCGCTGTATTCCATGTATTTCATTGTATTCACTGTCTCGTTGTATTCCATGAATGTATTTATATATTTTTTAATTAATATAATTTATGTATTCAGATGTATATATGTATTCAAATTGCTCTGTTTTTGTTTATTTATCGGCTGGGAAAAATATTTAGCATATTTTCTCTGAAGATTGCTATGTTTTCGGGGTGTTTTTCGGTTGAGAATCTTTTTATAACTGGAAATACAAATTTTGTGTGTTATAATTGAGTTTTTTGAGTTATATTAGGAGTCTATTATGTTAATTGATTCACTTTCCGTTTAAAAACAACTGAATAGACCATGAATTGCGCTATATACGTTACTGTATTCACAAATACATATCGTGAATACAGTCGAATACAAAAATCTATCTAGCTGTAATCCCTGTTTCACGCCTAGAAATGCTACTGTATTCATGAATACAGTAGTTTAAATACATCGAATACACTCTAAAAAATCTGAAAACATAGCTATAGGAAGTAATATAGTAAATGGTAGCTACAACTAGCTAATAATTAACCACTAAACAATAGTGGTTTATGAAAATTTCTCATTTATTTTCGTCAAACTTGCTACACAACTCATTTGTCTATAACAAATTTCATCTATATTAATGAATTTCTCACAAATTTCTGGTTCACAAATGCGTGCATTTCTGGTACTGAAATATAGAAAGTAGGCAAATTCATAGATGGCCCCCTTAAACTTGATCATTTTTTTCATGGGATTTTTTTCTTCCTATACAATATTTGAAATTTATTTACCAAAATTGTCCTAATTTTGTATATTACCCGCCCTAAACAAGAATTACTTACAAATTATATACAATCCATTATTACTGCCTTAAATTAGAGGATTTAGTCACATCATTTTCCTATTTTCTCTCCACTCCAATAAGGAGGACACGGCTCCTCTCTAGTTTTTATCTCTCCAGTTTCCCCCAAAAGAAAATGTAACGACCCGACCGGTCGTTTTGAGTACTAGCGCTCCGTTCAGCAGTCGGAGGCCATGAACAACTTGATTTCAGGTATTATGACTTGTACGCATGGTCGGAATTGAATTTCGGGAAGTCCAGAGTTGATTTGAGAAGAGAATTCTTATTTCGGAAGCTTAAAGTTGGGAGAATGAACTAAGATTGGAATTTTGTGTAAACGACCTCGGAATCAGGATCTGAAGGTTCCAGCAGGTTCGTATGATGATTTCGGACTTGGGCGTATGCCCGGTTCGGGTCTTGGATAACCCGAGAGCGTTTTGGCGCCTATTGTGGGAGTTAGCATTTTAGAAGGAATTTCATAAGTTTGGTTTGAAGTGCATTTCAGAGTTATCGATGTCCGTTTGGAATTCCGAGACTGGGAGTAGTTTCGTATGGTGATTCTGGAGTTGGGGCGCGATCGGAAGTGAAGTCGGAGGTCCGTAGGTCATTTTGAAGCCATTTGGCTAAAGATAGAAATTTGAAGGTTTTTGGGAAGTTTGACCAGAGGTTGACTTTTTGATATCGGGGTCGGAATCCAATTTCGAAAGTTGGAGTAGGTCCGTAATGTCAAATATAACTTGTGTGCAAAATTTGAAGTCAATCGGACGTGATTTGATAGGTTTAAACATAGGAAATAGATGTTGGAAAGTTCAAAGTTCATAAAGTTTGAATCGGAGTGTAATTCATGGTTTTAGCGTTGTTTGTTATGATTTGAGGCCTCGAGCAAGTCCGTAATGTATTTTGGGACTGGTTGGTATGATTGGTTGGGGTCCTGGGGGCCTCGGGTGGATTCCAGGTGGTTAACGGATCGAAAGTGAATTTTGGGAAGGCTTGAGTTTTGCTGCTTCTGTCATAACCGCATCTGCGGTTCTTGGACCGCAGAAGCGGGACCACAGATGCGGTCAAAAGTTCGCAGAAGCGGAAGGGGCCAGGTCCAAGGAAAACTGCAGAAGCGGCCCAGGGACCGCAGAAGCGGTTCCGCTTAAGCGGCCCCTAGACCGCAGAAGCGGCTAGTTCCCTCGTGCCCAAAACCGCAGAAGCGGTTAAATAGTCGCAGAAGCGACATCCGCAGAAGCGGAAATTGCACCGCAGAAGCGGAACATCTGGAGGCAGTAAGGTTGTTTTAAATCGTGAATGGAGTCATTTCTCTTATTTGGTTCATGGCTTGGGGCGATTTGGGGAGCTCCAAAGAGTGGAACTTCGTCATCTATATAAAGGTAAGTTATCCCCATCACTTTTGAGTTAAATACATCAATTATGTATGGATTTAAGCATGAAAATTAGTGTAAAGATGGAGGTTTTTGGTGGAAACCTAGAAAATGATATTCTTGGAATTTAGCTACGATTTTGAGTATGGAATTAGGATAAAAATATATATTTGAGTTCCTGAGGTCATGGGTAACCTTTGTCTTCGAGAAATTTTGGATTTCGGGCACCAAGGCCCGAGGGCATTTTGGTCATTTCACTAAGCGGAGTTGGGAATCTGTATAATTTGAATTTCTAACAACTATTTGAGCACGTTCTCATTAGTTTGTCGTTAATTGGCTAGTTTTGGTGCATTGTGCGTCGGTTCAAGCCTTCGGAAGAATGTTGAATGCCGGTTATGAGTCTTCGGAGCAAGGTGATTCTCCCTTCTAATCTTGTGAGGGGGAAATTTACCCCATAGGTGAAGTAATTGATTATGTGCTCCTATTTGTGGGGGCTACATACGCACGAGGTGACGAGAGTCCGTGCGTAGCTACTATTATGCTATTGTCCGGGTAGTTAGGATCCAAAAACATGTTGCACGTGGATTAATTGTGAACCCATTGGTAGCTCGAATTGTTTAACTCACATCGAATTGGTAAGTAAATTTCTAAAAGGATTAAACTTCATTTCTTAAATTGTTAAAGGAGAATTGGTTTTATTTGAATAAATATTCCCCGATAAATTCTTATTTGACTGATTGAGCATGTATTTTATGTGTGCCTACGTCGCATGGATGATTCGCGAGCAGGGTATTGTTTATTTATGGAACGGGCCGAACGCCTCGGTGAGAATAGATGCATCTATGGTTCGTGCCGCTCGACCCTCCGCAGTGCACAATTTATATTTCTGTTGGGGCGGGCCGTCGACCTCGGCATGATTGCGCGTGTTTATCTGTTACTTGAAAATTATAAATGTGGAATTGGCCCTACGTGGCTTGATATAAACTGATAAGCTAATAAAGAATAAACCTTGAAGCCCTTGATTATTGTTGAAGTTGTTTTACTTGTTTTTTTTTCTGGCTTCCTGAACTAGAACTACTATATGACTCCACGATTATCCTCGCATTATTGAATATTGATAATTGACCTCTAGTGAGTGTCGAAATTGGCCATCTCGTCTCTACCCCTTCGAGATTAGGCGGGATACTCACTGAGTACACGTTGATTACGTACTCATACTACACTTCTGTGCATTTTGTTGCACAAGTATATTTTACATTTGGTAGCAGCACGGATGATTTGGGGACTTGGTGAGCTGCATTGTTCAAGACGACCTGCAGCTAGAGTAGTTCCCTTCCAGTACCTTACTTATTTATTCTCTGTCCGCTGTATTTCGGACAGACATTTGTATTTTATTGTCCTTATCAGTAGTTGCTCATGCTCTTGTGACACCGGGTTCTGGGATGGTTTTTCTTTGAAGGTTGCGTATTATTAGTTATCTCTTCATTTGAATTGAAACAGAGGTTGTATGTATATGAAAAATGGAAGTAAAACTCTTAGATTTTTAAAATTATTAAAAGAGAAATCAATGGATGAGTTAGTTGGCTTGCCTGACAACGATGTCCAGCGCCATCATGACCCGTAGTGGATTTGGGTCGTGACAGAAAAAAATTACGATATATAGATTTAATCATTTTTACAAAAGACTACTTCAAAATATAATCACTTCACAATTCACTTCGATTTCTCTTCCTTCCTTCTTCATCTATTTATGCTGGCGCACATCGACCACAATAGTTATCTCTCTCTTCCAACTTTTGCGAGATAAACATCACATGTCAGGATCGAAGATTCTAAAATCTTATTACATAATTTCGGCAAAATCAAATAAGAAGCCAGAAATTAAACTTCGTCCATTAATAACAAATCCTACAGACTAGGGATAACAAACCTTTTATATAAGGCACAGCATATAAGAGACCCACCAAGACGCTGCTATCTAATCTAGGATGGGACTCAAAAATGAAACAGAGTAACACATAAAATAACTTTAGCAGCATAGTATCTTTCATAAGCTCCTATCAGAAATTATTTGCTATTCATTGCTCTAACTTTCATATCATAAGGTTAATCCCAATTTAAGAAATCACAACATGGCTTGTTATAAAAAAAGTTAACTCGAATCAATGTATATATATAATATGTGTTCGCATATTGACTTCTTTCATTTAACTATGATTTATCAATAGGCAGAATGACCCAAGTTAAATACAACTATAACATCATAGAACTTAAATACAGTTTTCATATAAATTTTATACAATATGTCTTTTGCATATGATTTGTATATATTTTGTAAGTGGTGTGTTCTTCTTCCTTTCTGAAATTCCAATCAAAAATTTATCTCTTAATACAACTTTGATACATATCAACAAATTCATGTAAAAAAATAAATAATATTTACAACTTAAAAATATATTTCATACAATGATTCGTCACTACTATTTTCAACTTTCATACAACATTCAAATAAAAAAAATATATAATTACAATAGAATACAATTTAAATACAATTTGCATACAACTTTAATACAATTTCGTAAGTATATTGGATGTTATATATTCTTCTTCTTCGAGTTTCAATCTGAAATTCAAACAAAATTAAGTCTAATCTTCACCAAACACCCTAAAAAATGAGATATAAACTCCAAAGAATATTTTCAATTATTTTCAATAACACTCAATCCAAACAAACAATAGTTTTTGAAAATCCAAGTTCGAATTTAAAGTTTCGGAGCTTTTTAATAGTTGTCAATGGTGGAGAATCAAACACCTTCAAAATTTACGGATTGACAATTTCAATTCGAACACCAATTATGCAACATGAAGGAAAATTGCTAAGTTAAAGCAGAGAAGAATGAAGAAAAATTGGGGAAAGAATAGAGAATGAGAGAGACAAAGAGAGGGAGAGAGAAAGAGAGACACATAGAGAGAAATAATTGATTTCCTAATCAATTCCTAATATAAAGGGATACTCATTAATATTAATTTATATATAATTGATAAATTGTATATGCTTATGTAATTAAGTTAAAACTTCATTAGGAAGGTTAAATAAGTTTCATATATAGTATAAATAGGTAAAAATTCCTCTTTTTTTATTTTTTTTATTTTTTTTATTTAGGCACCTTATCTAAAGGAGTAACTTATTGAACACTTCATATTGATTGAAAATGTGTCTATTAGACACACACGTTACCCTCCTTGAGAGAGCGTGAAGAGACATAAGTTTTTTTCTTTCTTCTTTCTCTCTCATCTTGTCTCTTTCCACCACCATACTTCCCTTCCAAGAGAAACACCAGTGCAACAAATCCACCAAACAAGAAAAAACAAATTGTAGAAATACTTCACCTTTGGTTGCTCAATAGATATCTCATAATAATAATAGTAATCGCTGCGGCGTGCAGCCCGATCCATATATATAGTCAACTACGCTCACTGGGGGTGTGCAGACTCCGGAGGGGCTCTTATTGCCCAAACGTCATATTGCTGCGGCGCGCAGCCCGATCCAATACATATCGCTACGGCGTGTAGCCCGATTCATATAAATATCGCTGCGACGTGCAGCCCAATCCATAATATATGTATAATATCGCTGCGGCGTGCAGCCCGATCCATAGTGTGTATATATATATATTCCTCAACCTCTCTCAGTCATTAACCTCACGGCCACTCGGGCACATTAGTGAAAATCAGGAAAACTCAGCCCAAACAGTTTTTATCTATTAAGAAGTAGAGTAATGAAACCGTATTAAACAAAAAGTAGGTAAAACATGACTGAGGATATGCTTTCAAATCAAGTAGAGTGAGGAAAGTAGTAAAAATACCCCTATGGGTCTAAACAGGTCGGCACAAAGGCCCCAAACATGGCATTCAACCCAAGTTAACAAACAAATTTCTAAAGCACATGGATATCATGTACAATATATCAAAATATGCAACTATACAGTCGCCACGGGACGGACCAAGTCACAATCCCTACGGGTGCACGCCCACACGCCCGTCACCTAGCATGTGCGTCACCTCATTTATTAAAATAGTACGAAATTTTGGGGTTTCATACCCTCAGATCTAGATTTACAATGGTTACTTACCTCAAATCGGATGAAATACTACTCCGCGACGCCCTTGCCTCTCGACTCAGCCTCAACTCGCGTCGAATCTATCCAAAATCAGAATCATAACATCAATATATGCCAAGGGAACGAAGCCCATGCGAAAACAGTCAAATTAGATCAAAATCAATTGGTCAACCCCGACCCCCGGATCCACATCTCAGATTCCGATAAAAATCACAAAACTGGCATCCTTACACTCTCACGAGTTCATACATATCAAATACATCAAAATCCGACCACAAACGACCCCTCAAATCCTCAAATCAAAATCTCCAATTTCAAGCCCTAATTCCCCAATTTTTCACCCTTAATATCATAAATTTCATGCTCAAACAATTAAAAATCATCATAAATCGAGTTTTAGGTCCATGAAACTCACCTCAACGAAAACCCCCTTGATTCCCTCTTCAAAACCCTCCAAAAAGCTTCAACTCCGGATAAAAATGGTGGAAAACAACTCAAATTTCACGAAGGGGGACTTATATACTTTCTGACCCAGGGATTCCGCACCTGCGGTCCTTTTTCCGCTCCAGTGGTACCGCTTCTGCGGCCAAACCAACCGCTTTTACGGTTTTCACTTAAGTTCCTGGAACCGCACCTGCGGTCCCGCAGGTGCGTTCAACCTTCCGCACCTGCAAATTCTGGTCTTCTAGCTCATCGCCGCATCTGCGGCTGCTCTAACGCTTCTGCGATCTCGCACATGCGGTCCCCAACCCGCAGGTGCGGTTATGACAGGGGCAGCAGCTGAAGCTACTCACTTCCAAAACCAAACTTTTCCGAAAACCTTCCAAATTCATCCCGAGGCCCCCGGGACCTCAACCAAAATTACAAACAAGTCACATAACACTATTCAAACTTATACCAACCTCCGGAACCCTCAAAACAACATCGAATCATCAAAACACCTTCGGATTCAAGCCTAAGGTTTCCAAAACTTCCAAATTCCGCTTTCGATCAAAAAGCCTATCAAACCTCGTCCGAATGACCTAAAATTTTGCACACACGTCCCAAATGACACAGCGGACCTACTCCAATTTCCGAAATTCCATTCCGCCCCCTATATCAAAATCTCCACTACAAACCGGAAAACGCCAAAATTCCAACTTCGCCAATTCAAGCCTAAATCTACCCCGGACCTCCAAAACACATTCTGATCACGCTCCTAAGTCCCGAATCACCTCACAAAGCTATCCGAATCATAAAAACCAAATTCCAAGATCGTTTTCACACAAGTCAACTTCCGGTTGACTTTTCCAACTACAAGGCCAACTTAAGAGACTAAGTGTCTCATAACACTTCAAAACTACTCCAAACCCGAACCTACCGACATGATACGATGAGATGAAGCTGAACAACACATAAAGAAGTAGAAATTGGGGAAACGGAGCGGTAACTCATGAAACGACCGGCCAGGTCGTTACAGTTTAACAGCTTAACATATAGAGAAGATATACATTTATCACCAAAAGGCCATCAGCATTAGCATATCGAAAAGATATGCATTAAGAAACAAGTCAATGTGTAGAGATTAACATATAGAGACGAAATGTACCGTACCTTCATTTTCCAGTCAAAATAGCTTATAGAAAATATATGCATAAAGAGGCCTGTATACATTCCAAGACTAGCATATATAGAAGATATGCAATAAAATCATGTATACAGCCGAGGTGTTTGAAAATATGGAAGAGATGCAAAAACCAAACAATGATTAGTTTTTCTCATACCCCATGTACGTCATCAAGAGAGAAACATGAAAGGACGACCCTAGGGGATGAATTCTTATCCACACGGTGCACGGACAACTCACATGCCATAATATAACAATCGCACGGACCACTCACGTGCTACCAATTCAGTCTATATTAAACAGAAAATATATACAAGAATATATATATATATATATATATATATATATATATATATATATACGAGCAGTGAATATCAAATCACATACACATGAACTGCAGAAAGTGACGTGCTACGGTGTATGCATGTGCGAAGTGTGCTACCATAGCGCAAATACACAATAAAATAACAATTATCATGTTAAATAGGATATTAACCTACGCATGATCTCTAACATGATTGAAGTAGCTCACGAAGGGGTACAAACATATGAAGCATGAGCAAGAAGCTTAGTATTCAATACAAGACATAAAACAACCTAAACACAACCCCGAGCATGGATAAAAACCTAGTGCCCGCACACATGCTCTTGTGCCACATGTGCGTCATCCTCGGCATGTAGCTGTCACGACCCAAAGTCCCTCCGAATGAGTCGTGATGGCACCTAGTATCTAAACTAGGTAAGCCTAACATTAACAGAAAATAATATGAATATTCACTAACTTCAAATTATATAACTCTGAACACTTACAATTCCCAAAACCGGTGGTACAAGTCATAAGCCTTTCTAAGAGTAGTTATACAAAATAAATACAACATTGTTCTAGAACAAGAAGGAACAAATGAAAGCAAATACAAACGAAGGTGACTCCGAGGCCTGCGAACGCAGTGGCAGGATTACCTTGAGTCTCCACCACGACGATCCGCTTGACTACTACTGATCAAATACCTGGACCTGTACACAAAAACAAAATATACAGAAGCGTAGTATGAGCACATCACGGCGGTGCCCAGTAAGTATCAAGACTAACCTCGATGGGGTAGTGACGAGGAATAGTCAAGACACCTACTAGTCAAATAAATTGAACAGGATATAATAATGAACTATCAAGATAAAATTAACAAAGTAATATCAATAGCAGGGAGTAATCCAACTACAAATAGTAGAGACAATAAAGGGAAACACGGATAGTAATGAACGATAATCAAATAAAGTAACACCAACATGACTGGAACACAGACAAGTAAGGATACGTTCAAACAAAGAAAGCAATGCCAACTCAATCCTTCGCATCATTTATAATACACAATTCCGACCATCTCAATCCTTGGTATCTCATGTCATAATATCACGTTCCACGCCTTTAGTACACATGGCACTTTGTGCCCACATATCTCCATCTCACTTTGATCAACATCATCCTCATGCCACTCAGTACATGGGGTCCATAACCTATACAATAAAGATGTTCAAGGAGTCTCATTTACATAACAATAAGAAGATTACGACTTCTAAACTAATTAGGAAATCAACAAGAAAAGAAGAAGTTATTTTTAGAAATCATTTGAATAAGAAAATACACTTTTTTAAATAAAATATAACATCGAATGAACTATTACATTTAATATAGGATTTTAAATAAAATTAAAACTTAGTAGAGATTCCCTTTTAAGTAAGATTCAACATTATTGGGTTAAGGAGAAAGTTTATTGAGGAACTAGTTGATATAGACCATAACATTTATAGAAATTGAGTTATAGAAAGGTGTATATATATATATACTCGGTGGGTGCAAATTTAAAAGTCATTTATAGCAATGTAGTACTAATTCCTTTATTTTTAAATCACGATACTACTAATAACTTAACAGGATAGGAGGAAAAGATTCAACGTAATAAATTTACTTTAAGGTCTAATTCACCAGAATTATACTTTCGGGAAAAATTCAAGGAACAACGGCAGGTCAACATCTCAATGCCAAAATCGACCCTCAAAACTCAGTGAAACTGAAACCCGGATTACAAATCGTCAAAGTTTTAAACAAATGGACCAGGGTCTTCTTAGTATTCAGCTATAACCAAATCCTAAATAGAATATAAAACCACCGAATAACTTGTACTGTCAGAGAGGATTACATAAACATATATATATATATATATATATATATATATATATATATATATATATATATATATATATATATATATACGGGGTGCATCCTGAATCCTCCCTTATTCCTCCGTAACAATTACAATAAAAGTAAATAGTATATATATTTGCTGCGGCGTGCAACCCGATCCCACCAATCCTCCCTTATTCCTCCTTATCAGTTACAATAAAAGTGCATAGCATATATATCACCATATCAATAACAACATGATCATTCTACCTTATTACTCCTTGTTGCGGCGTGCAACCCGATCCCACCAGTCCACCTTTATTACTCCTCAATATATATATATCACCCTTATTCCTCCTGTTGCAGCATGCAACCCGATCCCACCTGTCCACCCTTATTACTCCTTGTTGCGGCGTGCAACCCGATCCCACCAGACAACATTAATTCTCCCTTATCCCTCCTCAACATATCAACAACCAGACATAGTTTATAATAAACAACAACACAATTCAACAACCCAATCACAAGTATTTCTACCACCAAGAGTGTGAGTACATGACAACAAGAGAATCACGGAAAAACCAAGAAGCACAACAACCTTTACAAAAACAACAAAACATATAAGGCACGTGATAACTAAGCCGACAGCCACAACAATTTGGACATATAGCATATAGGCACAGAGTCATAGAGGGATTTCACAATTAAGAATAACCAAACAATAAGGAGGACAATTACTCCAATCAAAGCAATTAAGGGCCAAGTAACAAGTAAGAATTAGAGAAAAGTTAACAACATTGTATGGATCATATAGAGGCAACAAGCAATTAGGAAACACAATCATATCGTAAAACTTCCTACTTAACGGACATAAGGACCTAAGAACCCTAAAGGAAAATTTTCCACAAGTAAGTCCGAGCACACACTCGTCACCTCACGTGCACGGACTACAAATAGCATAGAAGACTCAATTCCTAAGGGGGAGTCCCCCGCACAAGGTTAGGCAAGATACTTACCTCAATCCGGCCAATTCAATACTCAATTTAGCTTTTTCTTTACCAATTCATCAATGCCCGACTCAATGTCACGACCCAAAATCTACTAAGGGTCGTGATGGCGCCGAACTCCACTGTCAGGCAAGCCAACAACAAATAACTAGTAACTTCTCGTTTTAAATATTTCTGAAATCACTTCTTTTATGCGTTTAAACAATACGTGATAAATTCCACTGAATAAATGATGAAACATTTAACAATTTTAAATTTCTGAATAAACCCATAGACATCCCCAGAACCCGGTGCCACAAGTGCATGAGCTATTTCTAAGAAACAATACAATACAACATCCGTCCGGAATACAAATGGACAGAAAGTAAATACAATATACTGGAAGGGACTATACTAGCTGCGGGCCGCCTCGAGTAATGCAACTCACCTAGTCCCAGTATCATCCATGCTGCTACGCCCAGTAGGCCACTAGTAGTACATGAGCCTGTGCAACAAAAATGCACAGAAGTGTAGTATGAGTACAAAAATAACGTTTACTCAGTAAGTATCCCGCCTAATCTCGAAGAAGTAGAGATGAGATGGCAACTTCGACACTTACTAAAGGTCCAGTAATAGTAATATCAACGCAATGACTCACGGATTTATTAAGAACAACAGTAGATTCAAGTAATTTACTAAAGAGGCAGAAGTTCCTCTTTATTAAAAGTGTCCAGATTCATAATCCATTAATTAACAATTATCTCACGTCGGGAGAGCATATATTAGTATCAACAAATATCAAAGCAAGCAATACAAGCATGCGCAACTCATGCCGAGGTCGTACTGCCCGATCCAACAATATTTAAAAATGGGCACTGCCGAGGGTCGAGCCGCCCGAAGCATAGATGCATCTATTACCCCGCTCACGAACCATACATGCGACGCGGTGAAACTTAAATAAGCAATCATCCTACTCGCGAACCTTACATGCGACGCAGGTACACATAGAAATACATGCTCAAACAGCAGATTAAGAATTTATCGAGGAACATTTATCAAAATAAAAGCCAATTCTCTTTTAGCGATTTAAGAAAATGAAGTTTAATCCTTTTAGAAATTCATTTACCAATTCGACAGGATTTAAGCAATTCAACTTTAACCAACATTACAATATTCCAAGTACAACATGCTTTTGGGTGCTAGACTACCCGGACAATAACATAGTAGTAGCTACGCGCGGACTCTCGTCACCTCGTGCGTACGTAGCCCCCCACAAATAGGAGCACATAACCAACTAACTAACCTATGGGGACATTTCCCTCTTACAAGGTTAGAAAGGAGACTCACCTCGCTCCAAAGATCCATACCGGCCTTCCACGCCTTTCCGAAAACTCAAATTGATGCACAACGCTCCAAAATTAGCCAATAGTTATGCAAATCCATTAATATACGATAAACTACTCATATTAAACCAATTTACAACAATTCCTAACCCCGATCGGAAAGTTGTCAAAAATGCCCTCGGGCCCACGTGCCCAGATTTCCAAAATTTTCGAAGAATAAGTTCTTACCCATAGCCTCACGCACTCAAATATATACTTTTCTCTTAATTCCATACCCAAAATTGTGGTCAAATTCCAAGAATATAAATTCCTAGGTCTTTCTACCAAAACCCCAAATTTCTACCAATTTACATGCTAAATCTATACATAATCAATGTATTTAACTCAAGATGGATGTCGTTGATGATGAAAAATCTCACTTGAAACTCTCCCAAAAATCGCCCAAGACAAGAAAAATATGAGAGAAATGGCCAAATCTTGATTTTTAAAAGAGCCACTGCCTCCAGCACTTTCCGCACCTGCGGTCCTATGACCGCTTCTGCGGTTCCGTAGGTGCGGGCCAACCTCCGCTTCTGCGGTTATGCTCCCTTCCGCTTCTGCGCCTCGTCCACCGCAGGTACGATCCCGCTTCTGCGGCCCCATGACTGCATCTGCGGTCTCTTCACTCCTGACCCCAAAACCGCATCTGCGCCTTCCTAGCCGCTTCTGCGGCTCCGCACCTGCGGCCAAACCCTCGCAGGTGCGGTCATACCAGATACCAGCAACTTCAGCCTTTTCCAAAATTCCATTTTCGAACCGTTAACCACCCAGAATCTACCCGAGGCCCCCGGGACCCCAACCAATCATACCAACCAGTCCCAAAACACATTACGAACTTGTTCGAGGCCTCAAATCATATCAAACATCGCTAAAACCAAGAATCGACCTCCAATCCAAGCTTTATGAACTTTAGAATTTCAAACTTCTACTTTTGATGATTAAACCCATCAAATCACGTCCGATTGACTTCAAATTTTGCGCACAAGTCATATTCGACATTACGGACCTACTCCAACTTCCGGAATCGGATTCCGACCATATCAAAAAGTCCACTTCCGGTCAAACTTCTCAAAAACCTTCAAATTTCTATCTCTAGCCAAATGGCTCCAAAATGCTCCACGGACATCCGAATTTACTTCCGATCGCGCTCCCAACTCCAGAATCACCATACAGAGCTACTCACAGACTCGGAATCCCAAACGGACATCGATAACACTGAAATGCTCTTCAACCCAAACTTATGAAATTTCTTCCAAAATGCTAACTTCCACAACAAGCGCCAAAATGCTCCCGGGTTATCCAATACCCGATCCGGGCATACGCCCAAGTCCGAAATCGTCATGCGAACCTGCTGGAACCTTCAAACCCCGATTCCGAGGTCGTTTACTCAAAGTTCTGATCTTAGCTAATTCTTTCAACTTAAGGCTTCTGAAATGAGAATTTTCTTTCCAAATCAACTCCGAACTT